ATGTTTAGGCTGGCTACATTTAAAGCTCAGTTTGTTCGATCCCCAGACTGTGCAAGTGTCTTTAGTCACACCTCATTTTCTGATATTTCGCTTCCAAGGAGCCAGATTTTCTTAAAATATGTCATCTTCAGGCTGTTTTTTGTTGCATCAGTTGAAATTGATCATTTTCAGAGGAATGGGGTTGTTTTTTTGTTACTACTCACTGAATCATTCAAGAGATTTAAAAACCGGCTCCCAGCTCTAGAGATAAATCAGCATAGTGTCTGCACATACTGGACAACTTAGTATAGAACCAGTTTTAAATAGTAAATTTATTACTAGCGTCCCGTCAAAAAAAAAGAGAAAAAAAAAAAACATTAGCTCACATTTTGTTTACTTGAATATCTGAAAAATGCCAAAGATACATCATTAACAAATAAAGGTGAAAAAAAGAATGCAAAGGCCTGACACGGGACCTGAGAGGCATGGATTGGCCTCCACACCCCAGACCTCAACCTTGTTGAACATTATTGGGATCATCTTGACAAAGAACAGAAGAAACAGCAGCCGAAACCCAAAGAAGAACTTTGAATGCCCTTAAAGAAGCCCTGAGAACTATTCCTGAAGATTACTTAAAGTATTATATACACAACTATACACATACAGTATATGATATTGCATGTTTCAACAAGCTGCTGCACTTCTTTCTCATTTTCCTAGTAAATTACAAAGAAATAAAGGGAGACTTAAGATGGTACACAGTACTGTAAGCTAACTGTTTCACAATGGGGGTTGGAGGTTTGGTTGAATCTAGTTGTTTTCATAGTCCTTTGGGTTTTATGGAGACAGCAGGAGCTTTGTCACCAAAAACCAAAGACCTCACATTTGCCCCTCAGGGAATTGTTGCTTACAAAGAACAGTCAACACTCGGTGGTCACAAAGCAACCACCGGTCGCCAACAGGATGTGACGGATTCTTATTGTTTTAGCTGACAAACCAGCACTCAGTCTTCACTCACACTTGCCCTACAGTTTAGAGGAAGAACAGGCCACTAAAGGGCCACCGAGCTGCAGGCTAACTGACTGATAATTGCGTCCGAGTCCATATGCGGGTCGTTAAACAGCCTCTCTGAGAATTCGTGACCAGAGACGAGAAGAGTGGATGTTATGAGCCGGAAACAAGCGGCAGCACTGAGTCAGTATAAAAAGCAATTACAAATGCTGTGAGTTCAGATTAGTGAACAGCAAAAACTGTGGCACCGTTTGGGTTTTGTTTAAAGTCACACAATGACGGACATCAGACTTTACGTGAACCAATATGAAATATTGGATTTATTAAAACACTGCTGGGCTGTAACAATAAAATAAATCACAGAAGGGAGTAAAGAGTCAGCTCCTCTCTTGTAAAGACATTTGCAACATTTGAGTTATTTGCAACATTTTAGATTAACGGAGGTCTCATGAAGAAGTGCAAACAAAAGCACTGATAACGTTTCTAATCCCATTCAGCTCAGAGTCTTTGGTAGGTGTGTTTGGATGAGCTGACTTAATACTATCAGCTGAAGCTGCATTCATAATATATTAACCATCTGCACCGTTGAGGTGTGCGGATGCAGATTCCCATGACGTAACCACAACAAATCAAACGTGCTAAACCTGAAACGAGCAGCTGAATCTTTTTCCTCCAGCGAGCTCCACTGTAACACTGTGTCTGTGCAAACTAACCTGCAGTAGCCAAAACTGAAAACACACAATGCAGACCATAATTTTATCTTAAAGTAGGGGTGCATGAGAAAGATAAAAAGAAAAAAGGAGAATTTCATGACTCAATAATCATGGCCGACTAATGAAAGGATGTCTAAACTGGATTTACTGCTTTTGAGCGTGAGAACTTGACAAACAGCAATTAAGTGCGAGTCACCAAATCAACAGTTTTGACTGGACAAAAGCAGCTTTCAGAGTGACCCGACTGAGCTGGCCCGAGCCAACCCCCCCCAAAAAAAGCCAGCCGATTTTAACCATCATCACGGCTTGGGTCTGTCAGCCAAATAGCCGCTTTAGAATGGAGTGGAGGGGACTATAAGCAGCTGTTGATTTGAAAAAACATCTGGAGGCAGTTTAATTCCACTTGGCATTTAATCTGCATCACAATGATCCCGTTGTTGGCGGGCTGAATGTGGTTTTCCCCCCTCTCAAGATTCGGATCTTCTGCTCGTTATAAGTTGTAGCGGTCAGAAGGGACGACTTGGGTTGAGTCACCCATGAGCAAGGCATCATGGGTACATGTCTGATATGATTTCCAATATTTCAGCATAAAGCATCTAAAGACACAAGAAGCAGTCTGATGGCAGTGCTCCTTTCCCTGCACCGTTAAGTTAAAGCAACGCACTTAAAAGTGACTCACACCACCTGTGACATCACTCGCTGGTTTGTAGACGAGTTCTGGTCGCAGGCAAGAGACATTCTGAACCCAACACCTCTGTTTGACCTTTTTCTCACTGAGAAACATCGCGTGCAAGTACATTTTTGTTTGTCTACAAGGTAACCATCAATGCAGATCCACCACGCTGCATCCAATACTCCATGTGTCACTCGAATCGTAAAGAGATAGATATGACAAACTGCAGTTTCCTCGATTACAAGCCACTTAGTATCAAAATTTGCTTAAACACATGCATGTAAGCAGGATACTGCACCTTCCATAATAAACTGTGGTGGAGCAGCCAGCCATTCAGATCACAGTGTGATTGTTTTTGTGGTGGATTATTAAAGAGCAGTTCGTGCTCTCATTGCAGGGGCCCATCCTTTTAATACCGCAACCTCCACCTTCAAAATGGACCACCATTTTGTGGGTTGGGACTGAGCTTGAAGCTGGACAAAAATTAAAAAAATAAAGTAGCAACTCCTACTTTGTGAGTCGAGGATGAATGTCTCTGTGGCAAGTACACAAAGCAGGGAGACAGAGCAAACATGCCCGGGTGTGACAACGATGAGAGAGGAAAATGAAAGGATAGACAGATCACACTTCATGAAAATAGAAGCTGTAGTTAAAAAACAAAGCAAAAAAGCCACTAAACCACCAGTCTTCTCAGCAGACGCCAGATATTCAGAGCGATTCAGAGAGCATCAGTTATAAGTCGTTCATTACTTTCAGAGCCTCGCGGCCTCATGCAAATACTCAGAGATTACTGCGCTGGCTCACAGTGATATTTAGAGAATGATTCACACACTCTCGCTCTGATCTCAAATTTCTGCTGAGTTCATCATACTTTTTTTTTTTGTTTCAGATTAATGATGGGAAAAGAGATATTCAGGCACACATCAAGGCTGACAACTGTTCAGCATGCGGCATGCCATCGATGACGACTGGAGACACACAGCAGCCAAGCCTGAAGGCTTGGTATGAGTGGGGGAGGGGAGGGGTGGCAAGGCAGGAGGAGGGGAAATATAGAAGAGGTGTTAAAAACAAAGGTTAGAACAATAAAGGAGACAGAGACTGGGAAAAAAGTAAGGAGGGGTGAGGAAAAAAGGAAGGAAGGAAGGAAGGAAGAAGGTGGAGGGAGAAGCTTGTGTCCTTGCCCAGTCATGCAGCCGAAAATCAGACATGCATGAAGACCATGAGCTCTCACTCAAACAGTAATGGAGGGAAGGGGGAGTAGATTGAAGAAAAACAAAAACTATTCCGCCTTATCGAAGCTAATAATCACATCAGCAGTGGATGCTGCTGTGCATCTCTCTTAATGAGACACAAAGGCTCCAGTTTCAGCTTTTCCATCCACATTCACTGGACAGCTGAGACTGTGGAGCTTTTTCTGCTGCACAGATGGTGAGGACTCTAGTGTTGCATTTTTAAATGCTCCTGGTCATATTAGTCAGAACCTCACCCGACCTAAATTAAGCAAGCTGTTTTGGTATAAAGACAAAAGTAGCAGTTGCCTACCAAGTTTTCAGTCATCTTCTCCCCTTTCTCTAACTGTGGAGCCATTCTGCTTCGGTGGCACGGTCAGCCTTCCAGTTTAAGACTGTTTTACATTTGAATGAAGGCACGCGTGCACACGGTGCTCTGTGTGTAAGAGGCTGAGAACTGTGTACATGGTGGTGGTTTGTAAAGTTTACTGACCATAGACGATACAACAGCGCTTTTAATCCGCTCCAGCCTGAGGGGGTTGGGAATAGCGAGGGGTGGGAGGGGAGGGGTGGTGGTGGTGTGGGGGGGTCCACTATATTAAAACCCTCAGCTAATGATGGCATGGATTTCGTGCTGCATTTTGTAGAGGTGGGCTGATCGATCCAAATATCGATAGTATCGATACCAATGCTGGTATTGATATCAGATGGATACAAGCGTGATAGAATCAATGGAAATCATCTACCCCAAACATGCACTATGAAAAATGCAAAAAACAAAAACCTAGTTTCAGAGTACATGAAAAGCTGAAAGGTGGGTTTTGTTGCATTAGCGCCAATTATAGTGGAATGTAAAAATCAGTGATTCAGTGGTCATTAAAATGTGCTCAGAATTTGCAAATTAGAGATTCCTCTCATAAATCATGACACACTACTCTCCCCTACATAAGCTGCCAATATAGTTTAAAAGTATTGGTACTGGTATCAACAACACTGGCCCTGTATTTGCTTGGTATGGCACACAAGGAGTACTTTTTATGCAAAGAGGGTGATTTGGCCCAAAAGACATTGTTTAAACATGTGTAAGTGTGCACAGGCCTCTGGTGTGGGACTAGAAGTCTAGGCCATGCTCTGTGTCCATCATTCAGAGTGTCCATCATTCAGAGTGTGTGTGTGTGTGTGTGTGTGTGTGTGTGTGTGTGTGTGTGTGTGTGTGTGTGTGTGTGTGTGTGTGTGTGTGTGTGTGTGTGTGTGTGTGTGTGAGAGAGAGTTAGCGCGCGCTGCAGGAGGGAGATGCAGTCTCAAAATTCCATCACGTTAACCCTTCCTCTACCAGACACTCTTCACACACTCACACACACACGATCTGGACCGGACCACCACCACCACACCCACCTTGCCGGGTGGAGACGTTCCTCTCGTTGGCTGCGGTGAGCACGACCTGCGGGTGGCTCTGCTCCAGCACGAACATCTCGTCCTTGCCCACGCGCGCGCTCTTGCCGGACTTCATGGTACCGGAGGGCCCGGAGGGCGCGAGGTACCTGCCGCTGCAGTCCCTGAAGGCCACCTTACCGGAGCGGAACTCCAGCGTGTAGCCGGTGCTCTTGTCCGTCGTGGCGACCAGCGCGCCGTCGTTCCTCAGGAAGCGGTTGTCGGACGTCTGGAGGTGGTACCGCTGATCTCGGAACACGAGCGTGATCATGGAGTCCACTCCCCACGGGACATCCCGGTCGATGGCGATCTCGTCCACCTTGTCGCTCAGGTGCGCGTACCGCTTGCGCGTCACGCTGAAGATGTTCACCTGCGGGTGCATGGCGATGTGCACGCTCCATTTCTCCGCCACCGAGGCGGTCTGGGCGAAGCAGATGATCCGGTCCTCGGTGCCGCCCAGGTAGCGGCCGTGCTGCTCGGACTGCAGGGACCAGCGGCCGTCGTCGTGAGCGGTGATGACAAACCGGCATTCCGGACCCGGGGTCTCGCTGTCTCCGGTGACGTTCCCGTCCTTGTCGGCGGCGATGTACCGGCCCAGGTGTGACTTGAGGAAGAACACGTTCCCGCTGGAGTCATCGCCGCTCTGCTCCAGGGTCCAGATCTGCTTCTTCTTCATGGACGTGGCGGACGCGTTGATTTTGAAGCCGAAGGTCTCCGCCGTCAGGTATTTGTTCCCGCAGTTGATGAGACCGAACTGGATCTGCAGCATGTCGCTGGTTCCGTTCGTCGCTCCGTTAGTTGTCATTGTCGCTTCTGTGCGCTCGAGCCTCGGACCGGTTCTGTCCTGAGAGGGATGAGAGAAGAACGAGGAGGAGGAGAGGGGAGGAGGAGCGGTTCTGCAAGTGAGCTCGCGGCTGAAAGGGTGGGATGCTGTGCAGCCTCGCGTGCTTCTCTTTGTTTGGGGGAGTCTGTGAGCGCGCGCCGCCGGTCCTCGGTGCTCTGCCTGTCTCAGCAGCGCGAGACCGCCGCCACAGCTGCAGCCTATATAACCATCAGTGACGTCGCACATCAAACCACGCCCTCCAGGATGACCAGCAATCTGGGAGCAGAGCTCGGTTGTCTCCTCTGCTCGAACCCTGTTGCTTTTATCGTCTAGTTTAGGTATTTTCCCCTGTTTTCCCGCTTCCCATCAGAATTCCATAGAAGTCTAATTGTGAACAGTGTGTGTTGGTACAAGCTCAAAACTCTTAAAATGGTCTTAAATTCTTTAAAAAGCCCTCTATTTTAATATCTAGCGACTCGATTTCCACCCAAGCATTAAAATAATATCACTTTCTCTCGCTTTCAGACACATATGAGACCGGTTCAGCATTCAAATCACGAGGACCGTGTGCGTGTGTCCGCTCACAAAACAGCTCTATTCATGGGCCGAGCATGCACATCAGAGGGCTGGAAACAAAGAGGTCAAACAGATCACACTGGCATCTTCTCAGTCCATGTGCATGAGTGAGCACCCCCTCTCTCTCTCTCTCACACACACACACACACACACACACACACACACACACACACACACA